AGAAATAGTACATCATTGGGACTCACTCACGCTTCCTTCCGTCTGGCCGAAGGACCCCTGGACAGCATTGATTGCTCCATCTCGGCGGAGGATTGACTGCCAGCTTGCCATCCCCTCTCTTTCCTCTCAGACCAAACATTTAGGTCTGCCAGATGCCATCGTTTAACCTAGAAAAAGTCCCTCTGTTGTCATTATCAATCTGACCTCTTCCCACTCCGCCTACTTTTCCTTCTGGCTGAGCAACCGCTAAAAACCCTAAACCCTAAAACCTCGTCTTTTTGTAGCAGCTCCGGTATACCATCCTKACTGCTTCTGGCCCTGTATCTTGTTGCACTCTCCTTCCCACAGCTACTCRTTTTTTTGCAATTGTGTCGTTTGTTGTCTGACCCTTGTCTTCCCATATCCTATCCTTCGCTGTTCCAAATTCCTTCTTGAAGCAGAGTTGTGCCATTCCTTCCAGCAAATGCGGTCATCCCGTATCTCCGCAATTTCCCCCCCTACTAACCACGCCTTGATGAACTTGCTTCTAGCCTTCTTTCGCTGCTCTTCATCTTCTGTCCATGTACTCTTGATCCTCTTCCATCTGCATAAAATCTTTGCCTGTATCAAGACCTTTGTCTCCACCCAGACTCTTTCCCGTGCATTTGAAGCTCCCTCGATCGTTCTGCTGCATCTTTCCTTCCATATGACCCATAGGGAGGTCTTCCTGATAAGCTCATACCAAATCCTTTCTGCTTTCCGTGGCCATTTAGGAGCGTCAATCAGGAGGAGGAGTTGGATGGGTTTCTCAGGGAATGGGGAAGTGAAGAGGGAATCCCAAAGGGTGGATGCTCTCGCCCAGTAGTTTGTTGCTTCTTTGCAGTATACTAGGCAGTGTACTATATCCTCTACTGCATTGTCCGTACACACCTTACAAAGGTCAGAACTATCCGGTACAAACTCTTTCCTCCTGATATGTAGCCACTGATTGACTGGTAATGCTGCGTAAGTGACTAACCATTGAAGGCTTCTGATTTTGACTGGTCCGATCATTTTGTATGCTTTCCACGGGATCTTTGTAATTTTATCCACCTCTTGGCCTAATAACTTTAGCCATCTTGCTTTGACTACGGGATCAGGATTTTTCATTTTTAGCATAAGTTTGTACCCTAGCTTAACCGTGTATTCCTGTATGAAGGTGCGCTTCTTGACATTTTTCTCCTTGTCCGGTTTCCATGCCCACTCCCCCGGGTCGAACTCTAGGTTCCAAACGGCCGTGTCGATTCTGAAAATCGATTTAGGCCACTCCCCTAACACTCTCACTTTTCTAAGCAGGAAGTGTTCCATGACTGTGGTTTCTACATCAGCATTCACAACCAGCGGCATGCCCTTCGCTGTGTGCGTGATAGGGAAGGATGTGAAAATCGCATGGGTGGTCGATCCTTGTTGTAATTGTGAAAATTGAAACGCTCTAGTGGGTCTGCTTTCTTGAATTTTAACCCCCCATTCTCCGCTATTCCATTCCCCGCCCTGTTTCAACATCTCTCTCCATTCTGGCGGGACCAGCCCCGTTATATACTGTAGATTGAGGCCTCTCCTGTGACACCCCTTGAGCAGAGTACTCAACTCCTGCTCAGTTATCCAGTCCTTCCTGTCATCGTTCCATAGGTGTCCAATTGTCCAAACCCCATTCTTTACCCAAGAGAGCCACCTATGGTTTAGGACAGGGGCTGATCGCTCTCGCTCCTCACCCACTCATTACCAAATAGTGGTTGCCTCAATATTTCGTCTTTAGACTTTGGTCTGTTGGATTTCTTAGGCATAATTGTTCTCCAAATCCAGATGAGAGTCGCCCAGTACGGAGAGTGCTGAATATCAGCGTTCTATGATGTTTCCCCTCTGATTCTCCTCCTCCTTTTTTTCAGCGACCATTCTTTGTTCATTACCCAGAATAGACCAGTCATGTTTCTTGGCGATGGGATCGAGGCTAACGCCCTTATACTGTCCAAGGCGAGTTTGTTCCATGCCGTTTCTGGTTTTGTCAGCAACCGAACAACCCATTTCACTTGGAGAGCTTTTGTCTCACATTTCGGGTCTATAATCCCCAGTCCCCCTTGAAATGGCTTCCTTGTAATGTATTGCCAGGGTATTTTAGGGATACAGTTTCCTCTGTTAGGATTGCCCATCCACAGATATGCTCTTGCTACCCGATTCAGTTCTTTTAGTGAGTCATCTGGGATGGTCCATACTGCCGCAATATACCACATCATGGAGAAAATGGAGGTGTTAAGGGCCAAAGCCCGACCCATCAATGAGGTGCATGTTTGACCCCATCTCCCCAGTTTGTTCAGTTGATTAGCTAACATATTTGGGCCCATTTGTGGTGCCAGACCCCTTCGCGTCATGAGGATGCCTAAGTATCGAGTGGGGGTGTCCGGCGTGTCCCAGGACATGTCTGCCTCCGGACCTTGCAGATTTGGAATAGGATCCCCCGAAAGCCACCAGCCTATAATTTTTTTCCAATTGATTTTCATTTCTTATGCCATTCTGAATGCTTCCATTGCCCTAGAGAGTGCCATAAAGGATGAATCCGAGACTCTAATCAGAACAGTCATGTCATCTGCAAACATTATTACTGTCGGGAACTTGAGATGATGGGGCGTTCCTACATTGACCTCCGGTAATTTGTGTATTGATGGATCTTTTCGTAGAAAGGAAGCGATAGCTTCCATCACGAATAGGAAGATCGATGGTGCAAGCGGGTCCCCTTGCCTAACCGAGCGTGATATACTATAGCTTTCAGACAGGAAGTTATTGATCTGTACACATCCTGAAGCGTCATTGTATAGGACTTGGACCCATTTCCTAAAGATTGGTCCCACTCCCATTCGTTCCATGCTTGCGTCCATGAAATCCCAATTGACTTGGTCGTAGGCCTTCTCAAAATCGAAAAACAGTATCGCTGTGTTTATCCTTTTTTCTCTGACCTTGCTGGTTGCTTCATTGAGTGTTAAGACATTGTCCAATATATAGCGACCTGGAATGAAACCTGTTTGATCGATGTGGAAGCATCTGTCTGTTATTCTCGTGATTCTGGCAGATAGGGCCTTGGCCAAAATTTTATATGGTAGTGTGAGTAACGAAATAGGCCTGTAGTTTTTGACGTCTTTCCTTTCCCCCTTTTTATATAGCAGTGTAACCACGCTGCTGCTTATTAATTTGCCCAGACCACCTCTCTCAAAGCTGTCCTGGTAAAAATTCATGAGGTCCCCCCCTAGATCTAGCCAGAATTTCTTCCAAAACTCTTTCGTTAAGCCGTCAATCCCTGGTGCCTTATCGTTGTTCATGTTTTTGAGGGCTTGTAGCAGCTCTTCTTTTGTGAGGGGTTTGTCCATTTCTGAAGCTTGTTCCACATATATTGTTTTTTCCAGGTATTGTAGCATCCGCTATCTAGCTTTCACGGTGGCATTCGGTGTTGGAAGTCGGGTATTTGTGTGATATAATTCCTGATAAAATTCCTTGGCGACTTCCATAATTTCTTCACTGGTTTCCACTATTTTTGTCGGGTTGGAAAGGGTTTTCAGCTTGTTTATTGTGGATGCCCTCATATTTGCCTTGATTCGTGCAAAGAAATGCTTCGTCATTGACTCGTTGAGTTCATAGTCGCACATTCTAGCTCTTATTTGTAAACCTTTTAGCTCCCACCATCTCCACATAGCAAGTTCCTCGCGAGCTTTCTCAAAGACATTGGTGTAAAGCGGTGAGGATGGGTCATCACGTAAGTTGAGTTCCGCTATTGTTAGAGCTTGTTCGAGTCTGCGTTTTCTCTGTTTTCTCATAGAGGCCAGCTCCCTCGACATTTCTGCAGTTGTCTTTGCAAGTAAGGAGTGACTCTCCACAAACCATTCCCAACGGTTCTGGTTGGGTAGAAAACTCATACTTCTAGCGCGCCAAAATTCGTGTATTCCTTCGTGGAATGTTTGGCTAAGTAGTAAAGAGTTATTCAATTTGTGGAACCCAGCGCCTTTCTGTACTTTCGAACCCAATAGTTATCTCTATAGGCTTGTGATCCAGACCTGGATAGGGTGCCAGGGGGAGGATTTTTGCCTCCTTCACCGCTCCCATGATAGAGCCCGACACTAAGAAATAGTCTATTCGTGAGAATGCGGTGTGACATGCATGATTCTTTTTTATTAGGCTGCAGGGTCCTGAAAAGGTTGATTAGCCCTTGGTCAATCATCAGGTTTTGAATTGGACGGGCCTCCTGTGTGTTGGTAACATGGGAGGACCGTGAAATACGGTCTATTCCTGGGTCGAGGGTGGCATTCCAGTCCCCTGCTAGGATACACGGTACTAAAGGCGGTATAACGCTGCTCAAATTCTCTATAAAGGTCACTCTTTGCGCTGTCTCATTTGGAGCATAGACGCTATAAAGGTGAAACTCTTCTTCCTTCCACTTCAGATGCATTGAACACCATCTACCTTCCTGGAGGTCAGCCTCCTTATTCAAGACAACCATTTGTGTAGAATCTAGAAGATTTGGGGATCAAAATGGTTGTACCTTTCGTGTTTGAGTTAGCATCTGCTGCCCATACTTCGTCTCTTATTCCACCTAACTTTCTTGTGATAATCTTACGGATTCTGTCATGCTCTGGGGAGAAGGAAAGATATGTTTCTTGCAATAAAATTATGTCTGCCAGTGCATTACTGTTCGCTTTTAGTTCGTTGCGGATATCATTCCATTTTTCTTCTTTATCCACGATATTCCCCAGACCGTTGATGTTCCAACTCCTGATAATGATTCCTTGGGCGCTCCAATCCCCCACAACCCTTTTCTCATTTGCCCTTCTCCTAATCTCATCCATGTTTGCCTAATTTCTATCAAAGTGAAATCATTTAATTGAGAAAAATCTACGAAGGTGCGTCACCCCCTGTGTCCTCCCCCATGCGGTCCACTCTTGACCCTCCTTCTAAATTTAGGCTTGTTTCTTTGTCGACGTTCATTCCCTGATCCTCTGTACCTGAAGTCCCTTCCTTATCGTCATTCGTCCCTCCCTTCACTCCTCCTTGCCCTTCCTCTTCCTCCTCCATATCCGATTGCCAGTCCCGTAGATCATTGTCCGAATCCTCACTCCTGTAGAATCTGTCCCAGTCTACCGGGAAGGCCACCGCATCCAAGTCCCCATCTCCATCCAACATACCTGATTTGACCAGTTGGGCCACCGACACTGCAGTTAGTTCAGCCGGTAAACAAGATCCTGCTAGGACACTATATGGCACTGYTGTCACYGTCCGCCACGGTCTCCATTTCATCCCTGATTTCAAGCTGGCTGTCGTKGCTAGCTTTACTATCAGGGGTGAAAAGGCTTGGGGAGATTGTCTCTTCTGTTCTGATTGTTGCGATCGTGTGTCCTCTTCCCCTGTGGGCGATTGCAAAGTCTCYTGGGCCGTCGTTGCTTCCACTGTATCGTATACCCCCAACGGGTAGTCAGGGGTAATTTTTTCCCGGAGAATATTTGCTACRTTYTGGCCTTCCTCAAAGCRGGGGATCTGAAAGGAAACRTWTGTCRCTATCTGCCATTCTTCCATCTTCTCCATGTATCTTGCTGCAATCAGARGTYGAACATTCATCAGWGTAAGGCGAGAAGAGCGGGCTGTTTCTACTACCAATGGCGCCTGATCCTTTGCAATGTGTGAGATCGTGACAAACTCTGCTGCGTACTCCTCATTCAATTTTGTCAGTTTGTCAGTTTGAGCCAGGACCACCGCCACTTCTTTTTCCAGCAGCGTCCGGTTTGATTCCTCATGGGTTTCTGTTTGTGCTGTGTCAGGAGTCTTTTTTTTCTGGCCTTTCCCTGATCTCCATTTCTTTGGGTGCAAATCCTGGAATTCATCCTTAGACTCAGGCACGGTTCTATCCTTGTCTTTCAAACCCTGCTCCCTTGCTCTCTTCTTTTCAGCATATCTGAAAGCTGTGTATTCTGACAGTTCCTCARCTTTGACCTTCCTGAGAGCGTCAAACTGGTTGTTGGATGTACCCACCCCTCCCAACACACCTCTCTTGCCGCTCGTCTGGGATTTCTCAGCGTGTTTCAGGCACGCTGCCCGAATGTCAAAAGCATATTCCCTCTCTCTCTTGACCTTGTTCACATACTCCCTGAGCCATTGCAGCGATTTTGCTGACTCTTCTTCACTGACTTCTGAGGAGATTCCATCTGCATTACTCCCCTCTCTCTCCTTCTCCAAGTCTGTCCCACTCACCTCTGTGATCTTTCCCCTCTCTTCATTCTCAGTTGGGAGCGAGGATACCCCTTTCTCCCCTTCAGTTCCTTGCGCCTTCCTCCTCTTGAGCCCTCCTTCCTGGCTCCCTCTGTTCTCCACAGAATCTAGTGTCCTTTTGTTGTCCATTTGTGTTCCTTTTCCTGTGATCTTCGCAGCCTGCTCCAGATTTCTTAGCCAATTCTGGAATGTGATTGGTTCTTGGGTGAATTGGTAGACTGCGTTCTCCCTAACCGTGTCTAGATCCCATAGGAGATCCTCCCTGTCTTTCTCTTCTCTGATCACCCGTGAGTCTATCAGAGGGTCCAATCTAATCTTTGTCGGGTTCCCTGCCACCTTCCCCGTCGCCTTTTTCTGCCATCTGCTGTCGGCCGGAGGAAAAAAGTCAGGTTTCTTGACTGTCGGTTCCAGGTCGGCGTAGTGCCACACCCAATCTGGTTCCTCCAAATTGTCATCGAAGACCCATCCATTATAGTTACTGTCTGCGATGAACCAGATTCCCGGAGCGTCCTCCACCTCACACAGCATGTTGGGGAGGAGCTTGCGTTCCTTCGCCTGTTTGGGAAATTTAGGACAGTGCGAGTCTGTGCCCATGTGTCCCCGTTCTCTGCAGCGAAAACAGATTGGTGACGTCTTCGTTGACACTCTGATCTCCGCCACTCTGTTTTCGATCTGCAATTTCCAGGTTTGGGGAAAAACCGGGGGGTTGTCTGTTTTGACTTCCAACACTGCAGTCATGGAACCGCAGTGGGGAACCAGGAAATCTGGTGTGGGCAATATCCATTTGAGAATTTTGTTTGCTGGATACTGCCTTTCCAACCTGTCCACCAGCAATCCATGAAAACCCGGCTGGATATTGTCAAACTGAACCCAAAAATTCTCTTTTAACAAGGTTTGTTTGTAAGACACAATAAAAACTGGATTTTGTCTCTGCCCGACTACCTTTTTCCACTTTGTGATCGTGCAGACCGATCCATTGCAGTTCCTGGACTGCATCTCAGCTGCCGCCTTCGCCTGTTCTTCCTTGACAAACAGCGCTAGGATGTTGTTCCTTCCCAGATTCTGCAATGTAAATGTCTCTTCCGATTGTTTCATCTTTAGTTCTTTTCTAATTGTTTCAATAACCCATTTGCGCTTCTCTGCTGGTTGCAATTCTGCTCCGCTGCGGGCAAAATTAAACACTACCCCATGCCTTTCGTGCAATTCGTCCAATTCTGCAACCTTCTCTTCTGGGTATTTCCATACAATGATTTCTTCTTCTTTGCCATCAGATTTCTGAGTCTCCGTGGTTTGTATCCCTTGAACCTTCGTCTTGTCTATCAGAAATTTGAGTGCCTCGTTGTCTATCACGCAAGTGTCTTTCTCGCCCATGTTTTGATTGGATGCCCCCGGGTTTTGGGAGGAAGAAGCCATTTCCTCTCCGTGTAAGTGGGTCAGTCCTTCGCTAGTCTCTACCGTCTGTCAGGTCTGTCCACTTGTGTCTCTCAGTGTCAGAATGGGGGATGTGGGGTGATAACTTCGAGGGAGCGGACTGAGTTCAATAAAAGTCTAGATGAGTGTGTAATGGGTTCACATATTAGCACAGGCGAGTGAAAAAATGGGCATCATTTACCCTCCCCACTTGGGGATCGGGTATCAAAGAAAGAGTCTTTAAAGGTTGGCCAGCAATATATACGGATGTATAAATCAGATCGAGGAGAGTTACTCCGTAGTGAAGATAGCGTGGAGATTACCAAATCGTGTATTGTTGGGAAAATCTGGCAGCATTTGGCCTCCCCCCTTGGGGATCGCTTTTACGCAAGAGTCTAGATTGTTGGACAACCACCGACAAAAGAGAGAATCGCGTGTAATCTAGGTTGTTGGACAACCACCAAGAACAAAGAGCATCTCGTGCAATTCTTACTGCACGCTAAGGCAAAAGAAGCGCAAGATGAGGGACTGGGTGGCGATCGGATTGGAAGAACGTGGTGGGAGTTTGGAGTGCTGACCAAGTTGGTGATCGAGGGGGCGGGGAGTTAGTTTCTAGACAGTCGTATGTGGAGGGGGGAGGGGAGAGTATGCTGGTTGTTTTAGTGATCGGAATCGGGAGCAGGGTTGGGGAGTGGAGTATTACGAAGGGGGGAGGGATCACGGTAAGAGTGGGATTAAGGTCGAGATCGGGAAGGGGGATGAGATCGGGGAAGGGGCGGGGGTAGGAACGGGATCGGAGTAAAGTGGGATCGGGGTCGACGTGGGGGAAATGAAGTCGAAGTGGGGGGGATCAGGATCGAAGTGGAGGGGAGATGAGGTCAAAGTGAGGTCGACGTGGGGGAAAATGATATCGAATTGAGGTCGACATGGGGGAATTGAGGACGGAATTGAGGGGGTTGTAGGAATCGAGGAGGGATCGCTTTTAGAGTGGGATTAAGGTCGAGATCGGGATGAGCTCGGGGAAGGGGCGGGGATGGGAAAGGGATCGAGGTAGAAGTGGGATCGGGATCGACGTGGAAAAAATGCGGTCGAAGTGGGGGGAATTGGGGTCGAAATGGAGGGGAAATGAGGGATGAGATCGGGGAAGGGACGGGGGTAGGAACGGGATCGGAGTAAAGTGGGATCGGGGTCGACTTGGGGGAAATGAGGTCAAAGTGGGGGGGAATAGAGTCGAAGTGGAGGGGAATGAGGTCGAAGTGAGGTCGACGTGGGGGGAAATGAGGTTGAATTGAGGTCGACGTGGGGGGTATTGAGGGCGAAGTTGAGGGGGTTGTCGGAATCGAGGTGGAGGGGAGGGATCGCACTCAGCGTGGGATTAAGGTCGAGATCTGGATGGGGGATGAGATCGGGGAAGGGGCGGGGATGGGAACGGAATCGGGGTAGAAGTGGGATCGGGATCGACGTGGGAGAGATGCGGTCGAAGTGGGGGGGGATCGGGGTCGAAGAGGAGGGCTGATTATTGTCGTGTTGGGATCGGGGTGGTGACGGGGATGAAGTGAGGTCGGGAGGGGTTGGGGCTAGATCGGTTCAGGCTCGATGACGAGGTTGAAATCGTGGAGGGGCCGAAGTGTGATCGAGTTGGAGTCGGGATCCCAATCGGGGTTGAGGGTGGAGTGAGATGGGATTGGAATGACGAGGTTAGGAAGAGAATGAAGTGTGAAGGTGTCCGGAAGGGACGGATAGCAGACTATCGGAAGGGGAGAGAATCTTGTTCTTCTTAATCTGGCTCGCAATGAGAGTATGAGGGGGGCCCGATGGGGAGAAATAGACGTGATGTTGAACGAGGGAAAGGCGAAGTTTTAGGATATGGCGAAGGGGTCAGTGGGCAAACGGATATGAGTAAAGGGGGGGGCAGGATGAGGAGAGAGACAGTGTGGTAGGAGTGTTTTGACAGGACGAGTCCGATCTCACAGATGACTTCAGCTGTTGGTGTAGTTGTCTCGGTAGATGAGGCTCCTTCGCTGCGATATACTATCCCTCCCGCCTTGTCGACGGGGCTTGTTCGATGGCACAATAGACGAACTTGGTTTTATCGCTCCGACTCACAGCTTCTCGAATAACTTCACCCGCTTACGCGACTCCGTCGAGGGACATTCCGAGTAATCTTCCTTGATGCGCGCCCAGGGGGCGCGCAGAGAGTCGTGTGTGGCGAACCAGGGGAGTTATGGCGTTGTAAGGGCAGCCCACGCTGCGACAAAAGTTGTGCTTGTACGGGCACAAGGATGCGATGCAAAGTGCTTAACGAATTTGGGTTTTTCACACAGCTTCGCGAGTCACTTCAGCCCTTACTCGTCTCGGTGCGCGCCCAGAGGGCGCGCAGGTTATCGCGCGTGGCGAACCAGGGGAGCTATGGCGTTGTAGCCTGTGGTTCCGCGATGGCAGCCCACGCTGCCTACTGCGACGAAGGGTGTGCTCGTACGGGCGCAAAATTTTCGTCTTTGGCAATTTCTAAAAGTTGTGGGATATGATGATTTCAGTCTTTCGTATGTGATCGACGAGCCACCTCATCTGCGCATGTATCCAATCTTTCATGCTTCTAAACAGACCAGACTCTTATCACATACTACTACTACTTCCTTTCATGATCATGATCCTATGATCCCTCGTACTATTAATGGCGGTCACGAAGTTGACAAAATAGTAACGCACATGAGCAAAGGGAAAGACAGAGAATATCGAGTCCCTTTTTGGTACCATCCTCTAGATGAGCTCTATTGGATAAACCGCAAAGTCTTAGTAAAGTTTGCACCTCTTGCTGTGAATGCCTATGAATGACGCCTGCAGCTTACTCCGCATGAACAACTTACAACCCTCTTCGCATTTACTACATTTGATGCATTTTGCAAGGACTCTTAAGGAGTCTAGTCGCTTGAAGGGGTCTTGCTCTTAAGGGAGGGGCTATGTAATGAACCGGAAAACCACAAACTAAGAAACTTGCTGTTTTTCTGAGCTGTGCTGCTTGTTTGAGTGACTTGCTAAGATTCTCGTATTCTAATGAGATTTCTAAGTTTGTGTGTATGCGTCATTGCTGAGTTGCTATGTGTTTGTCTGTCTGCATGATTGCATAGGTGTGTGTGTGACCCGCTGGGGTACTTGAATGTTGGGAAGACCCACGGGCCTGGTAGTTACCTGTGGTAGTGTTGTTGTGCAGGCGCAGCGGAGATAGGAGAGTAGGGAAGGCCCATGAAGGCCAAAAACAGAGGGTGGGTAGGCAGGAGAAGACAAAAGGTTAGTACATTGGGAGGCTGAAGTAGAATCTAGAGTCCGGTAGCCTAAGTCTAGAGCCTGCAAGAGGGGATATCAGACTGCAGTGATGTTTCCCTTTGAAAGTGGGAGGTATTGGATAGACTTGGAGACCATGCAGCCTTGAAGCAACCGCGTGAGGAGGTACTTCGCTGGTATACTTAACCGGGAGGCGAAGTACTCTGCCTCATTTGCTTGCTTGCAGCTTTGAGGCCACACTGCTGGGGCGTCCGCTGAGCTGCCTATGGTGGAAGTACCCAGGGAGGAAGGTGGCTAGCAAGGGGACGAAGGAGGACGAGGAAGACGGTGAGCAAGGAGGAACGAGGGAGCTTACCTGGCTGTGGTGGTCTGCATCTTCATCTTCTTGGTTCGCACTGCACCAGGAAAGCCCCAAGTGGGGTGATAGCTTTAAAGAAGACTCTGGGGGTGGTGATAGGCATGGCGGCCATAGTCGGGGGGACATAGTAGCTTGGTGTTGTCCTTTGAACATCGAAGCTTCACTCCGATGCTCTGCCACAGCCACTGGATCAACCAAGTTGGAGAAAGGTGTATGAGATGGCTATGCTAGACTCCTTGAGCAGCTGGCAGCAAGGGAAGGATTTCGACATTGGTTCCAGTTCATTCTTTTACTACATTATAACAATTGCTATTTGGCAGTCTGTGACCAGCAGCCGATCTGGGCTCGCGGTTTCCTTGGCGCGCGATGGTCCAGATTGGCTGCTGATTGTTTGTGATGCCATCAACTCGTAATCTGGACCATCGTCGGCATTATACGGCACGGTCCAGATTATGTGTTGATCGGAGTGGAGACAATCCCTGGGACGGCAGCGAAATGGAGCTGGGATGGTAGGCCCTGGCCTGGTAGTGCCTCGCGGCACTCCGTAGGCCAATTTTTAGCCTGTACAAGGTAGTATCGCCCGCAGCACTCTCCAGGCCAATATCTGCACGGTACACACGCACGGGGGTTATGTGACTAACTTTTTTTCGCAAGGCAGCGCCAGAAAGAAACGGCGCCCGTAACTGGCTACCCTCCACTTCGACACTCGGCACTACTGTACGCTATCTGTCCTACTCGGATTACACTCGACTTCGACGATACTCTACGGTCAGCGCTCGACTTCGACTCTCTGCGCTCGACCCTACTCTATGCTACTACGCTCACTCTCTACGCTCAGGGCATACTCACATGGGGACCTAAAGTCACAAATATCTGGTGTGTTTCGTACCATGTATTTGTGCCTTTGGATGCCCGTGCCGTCACACATGAGTTATGCGTCCACAAAGGACAGAGGCGCGGCCCTGACATTTGTGCCTCACAGAACTACACATACTCACACTGGTTACACTCAAAATTATATGGAGTTTTTTCTTTTCTTTTTTTGAATGCTGAAATAACACACACGGGTGTTTTGCTCATGCACTTTTTTTTTGAAATACCTCATGGAGAAAGACAAATTCGAAAAGGTAGAGACCACCTTT